GAGAAGTTTCCAGATCATCAGGACAAAAAGCAGAAGTGTGTGGTATGAGTGAAGTCGAGGGGGAATTCTTTGTATTACTGTTGCAATACTTTTCTAAGTCTGAAATTATTTCAAAATATACAGTGAAAAATCATTTTGTTAGGGCTTATTAGGATGGAAGAGGGGCCATGCTCTATCTTGGATAACTGGGACCTTCCTTAATGGGGATCGGATCTTTCTACATCTTCTTCAAAAAGCCAGTTTAACTCTGAAGTCTATATGCTCTTTTTCAAGTACCTACAGATTATCACTGCATCTAAACTTCTAACATTCTAGAAAGCACTGTTCAAAAAATTCAGATCATCTAATTTTTTAACCCTTTATGTTTAAAGAAATGTTACTGGCTTGTTAGGTGTACACTAAATTTTAATGTACTCTCACTTGTTTAGTTAAACAAACAAAATGCATTTAATTGAGAACACTGAACAAATCGCTATCAGTTTGTGCTAGTCAGGATAGGCTGAGTTTTACGTAACAAAACGACTCCCAATCCTAGTGGCTTAAAGGAGCAAAGGTTTCTTTATTGCCCAAGTGCCTTTATTGCCTAGTGCAGGTTGTCAGAGAGCTCTGCTCACAGTGACCATTCTTAACTCTGCTTCTTCTTGACCCTTAGCCCCAGGGTCCCCGCAGCAAGGAAGAGAGGGCTTTGTGTCAAGTAGTGCAGCTCAGTCCTTTGGCCTGGATGCTACATATGTCACTTCCGCTTGGACTTCCTTAGCTGCAGGCAGGCATGTGGATGTGCCCAGTTTCAAGGGAATTCAAAAATATCCTTCCTGTGTACCTGAAGTAGAATAAAAGGTAGTAACTTGTGCCATGCAATTCCAGGTTCTACCATAGAAATGATAAAAATCATGACATTGTGGTAGAAACAGCCAATTGCTTGCTCAGTATCTGTATTCCTCTACTTCCTTACTAGTAGAACCTGGTATGTCAGTGCCCACTGAAAGGCACTGAGCTCTTACAGATGTGTGTGTGATAGCTGTGCGTGGTCATACACCCCAATTCTGGCTGATTAGATAGACACAGGTGGGGCTTAGAGCAAAAGAAAAAACCTTTTTATTGATGATCAGACAAGGCTGGCTTGTGCCTTTTGCCCCCTGCCCTTCACCATCCATCATCTACTGTCCTTCTTCCACCTTGGAGTATGGTCACAGTGCCTGTGAGTGCAGCAGCCACCCGTAGCTGGTACAGAGGCCTCACATTAAGATCAATGGGTCAGGTCTACAGATGGGGCCTGGATCCTTGTGATTCTGTGAGCCTCCATACCAGCTGTGGGCTGCTTCCCCCACATCACTTGTTATCGCAGACAAATAAGCCAACACTGTTGAGTGTCTGTTACTTACAGACAAACACAATCTTAAATGATACAAATAAAATACTTTTATTACTTTCTACCATAAATAATGACTCATTCATATCATATCATGATTCAAGTTAGTGATTCAAATATTAAGTCATAAATATAGCAGTAGTATGTTCCTCTGCCACCTAATCAAGCCACCCTAGTTACTGATATAAATTATTCTTTTTTTAAAATTAAAAAAAATTAAAAAATTGAACTATAGTCAGTTTACAATGTTGTGTTAATTTGTGGTGTACAGCATAGTGATTCAGTAATACATATCTATATTCCTTTTCATATTTTTTTCATTATAGGTTATTTATTACAAGGTATTGAATATAGTTGCCTGTGCTATACAGTAGGACCTTGCTGTTTGTCTATTACTTATTTTTATGTATTATTGAAGTCTAGTTGATTTACAACATTGTGTTAGTTTCAGGTGTACAGCAAACTGATTCAATGGTACATATATACATATTCTTTTCCAATATAATGGAAAAGTGCTTTTGGAAACCTGTTTCATTCCGTATATATTTCCTAGTACTTTCTTACATATTCTCTCTTACAACCCTTCACCAATAGTCCATGTGTCTGTCTCTGTTCTATTCCTGAAGATTATTTTAGGAAGAAAACTATGTCCTTCTCTAATGGCTACATTTTAAATTAAAATCTCTACCTGCCTTCATTTTCAGTATTCAAATTGATCACCCTCTTTCCTACTCTGGTTTTCTACCAAAGTGCTCTTTCCCAAACTCCCAATTTATCCCTCCACTCTCCCCTTTCCTCTCTGGTAACCATAAGTTTGTTTTCTATGTCTGTGAGTCTATTTCTGTTTGTAAATAAGTTCATTAGTGTCCTTTTTTAAAGATTCCACATGTAAGTGATATCATATGATATTCTTCTTTCTCATTTTGGTTTACTTCACTTAGTATGACAATCTCCAGGTCCATCCATGTTGCTGCAATTGGCATCCTTTTATTCTTTTTTATGGCTGAGTAGTATTCCATTATATATAAATTATTCTTAAACAGTGTACTTAGCAATACATGTATTGACAGCTTCACCTTCAAAATTCTTACCTTTCTCTTTTTTGGCGGGGGGAGGGAGGTAACTAGGTTTATTTATTTGTTTGTTTGTTTGTTTGTTTGTTTATTTATTTATTTATTTATTTATTTATTTATTTATTTATTTATTTATTTATGGAGGAGGTACTGGGGATTGAACACAGGCCATAGTGCATGCCAGGCATGCGCTCTACCACTTGAGCTATACCCTAACCCCTAAAATTTTTAAAAAAGTAAAGAATACAACATTAAAAACATAAAATGATACCACACTGGAAAAAATTAGTGAACTCAGGTAGCATTTTGGAAATCACTAGAGAAACTGCCCACTATTTGAGAATAATACATAACTTTGGTTGGAACATAAAATTAAACTCAGTAAATTTCTTACTCAAATAGCATATGCACACGAATACCTGTTTCATCATAAATTATGTGAGAATTTATTTTAATGCATTTGCTTTACTTAAAAGAATTACATTAATCTTTTTGTCATGTTTGCCTCATAGGTGGAAAACTCTTAACAGGAGGAGTTCCAGATGCAAAAGCCCCACAGCAAACCTGCAGGGAGACACCATGGAATGCCTGGAGGGTCTCTAGCAGGTACCTTCATTTAGGCAGCTCTGTCTAGATCAGTGTACCTTCCCTTTGCAATTCATGACTCAGCATCAAACTGCTTTGATAACTTGATCTAACTTCAGGAAGAAGCACTCTATTTTGCATTATCTCCATTTAGCCACTGAGATGGCTCTGAAAATTGCTTTTTAAGTGATCAGATGTGGCTAGCAGATAGTTTCAGATCAGCAGTGCAGTAAAGGGAGCCTAGAAGGATCATAGTTGCTGGTAGTTTGGGTGTTCTTTCTAGAGGCCCCAAACCTAGGGATGGGCTGATGGTCAGGGATACTGGTTGGAAACCATTTCTTCTTGGTCCACTATTCTACTATTTATACACCCCACATTTCTGCTACATTGGGTTATTCTTTGGACATATCCTATTTTACTTCCATACAAATGTTTCCCCTCAGTCGACCATCTCACTGCTGAGTGGCGCAGTTCTAAACCCACCTCCCCCAAGAGCTTTTCCAGATCTCATCAGTCATCCTCTGTAGATGCCCAGAATTTTTTTTCCACATCCCAGTGGGCTTTATATCTTGTGGTTGCTTTCTTATTGGACTGATGTGCTCTTAGAAGGAAAACATTATCCTTATCCATCTCTGATGCCCCCGACCCCAGGTTTGGCACAGTGTATGGACCTTGAAGGAACTTCATGGTTTGAGATTTCTGGAGTGGTCTGTGGCCATTGTAAAATTCAAAATGGAGAGAACCTTGGTTAAAGGAAGAAATGGAGAAGGACTAACTTCTAATTTTCTTTGCCAAAGGTCAGGGCATTGCTTCTTCTCTGAATTGTTCTAACTTGCTGAAATGGAAACTTCCCTTAATTTGGGACAGATAAGAGTAATTTTTGGCAGATAAGAGCCTGGGGAAGCTGTCATTGCCCACTGGCTTGGCAGGGAAACTGCTACAAAATGATTATGCAAGGTAAGCTTTTTTGTCTATTATGAATTATTTTTAAAAGTCTAGAATTATCTGATTTAAATATAATAGATCAAGATTTCCTTCTGGCACTACTGAAGCTCAGAGTATACAAAGGGAGCCTCAGGTGTCCCAGACAGCCCAGCATTTGGTAGACATAACTCACCATCTCTTTGGATTTCTTTGTCATTAGTTGATTACTTGATGGAAATATTAGAGAGAATGAAGCTGTGCACTGGGGTGAAGACCTTGTAAAAGAATCAAATAGCAAACTTAAATGTCATGTCTCATAAACACTCTTGTAGGGGTTTTTACCTTAAAAAAAGGGTAAAATTGATAAAGCTAATTTCTGGCAAACCAAAAGAGGCTGCAGTAAATTCCTGAAAGGCACAATCTCACCTCTCCGGCCCTATACACCTCTCCCCTCACCTGGCTCCTCAGGGGGAGTGTAGGAGGCTGATCAGAGAAACAAGGAGAGGCACGTCACACCCCAGCCCTATTCTCTGCTCCTAGATGCTCGTTACAAAACTGGGCAGGGAAACCCATCCTGATCGCCTCTTCCGTTTGCGGGTGCCTGGTCCTGACTTCTGGGAGTCACACACACTTGTTTCCAGGCGGTGTCCAGGTCTATCCTGTCTACTAGCAGAGCACAGGTGTTGTGCACGTAGTCTGAAAGTCCCAGACCAACCCACAGAGGCCTTATGAGAGCCAGGCTGGGCTGGGGTGAAAGGAAGGGTCTGGGAATGACCAGAATGCTGACTGTCTCAGAGGGAGGAGGGAGAGTGCCTTGGATGACTGCAAGGCCCAGCAGGCTCCAGAAAGGATCAAGGCCAAAACCTCACAAGCATGGCCCTGTGCCCTTCCCTTCCACCCAAAACCGGCCTCACGGATGTTCAGAGGCACTTTAAAATATTCCAAGATGCTACACTTTTTATTGTTCAACCTCCAATGTCCTCCTGAAACGACATCCTCGCATTAGTAGAGGGCTGGGTGTTTCACAGCAGAGCTTAGCCTTCCTGAGACAGGCTTGGTGGTTGCTCTGACGTTGGGGAAGTCTCAGGTGTCTTCATCCTACAGCTCGAGGAAGGCCAAGCACAGACTGGGGTGAAGAGCCTATGCTGTGCTAGGGGCTCTTGAGTTTTTGGATGTGGACCTGTAGAGTGGGGAGACTTAAGAGCAAAATGAAGTCCTCGGGAGACTCTGGTGTCACTCCTCTTCTGCTTCAGGGCACACTTGGCCCCCGGTGCACCACCATCACGGCCATCTCACTTCTCAGGAGAAGGGCACGCACCCTCTGCTGTCTGGCTGATTTTCTTTCCTCACATCATTTACTCTCCACCGTTACCTCCTCCCTCTCAACACACACAATGTTGTGCACCGACTCCCTCCTGTATTCTGGAGACACTTATTTTGGGAGTAAAAAGGAGAGGGAATGACTATGAATGAGATGTGGGGGGGAAAGGTCCAGAAAATGAAGATACCTTTGAGATCAGAAAGGGGGCCTCCTCCTCACAGGTAAGGACTCTGGCTTGCTTGTGCTTTGCCCAAGGTCACAGTCGATTTAGAAGTAGGTATCCTGTTGCTTTCCAGCCTTTCTGCATAGGATAGGGTGAACATGTGTAACCAGGTTTCACCAGGCCATGTTCAGTTGTGTGCTGTTGGCATTGGAAAGGGCATTATGTTTAGGAATAGGGCTGCTTTATGCTCTGGTGGTGAAGGAGGAGGGCTGAACTGGGAACAAGAAGACCCTTGTTCTAGGCCCAGTGCTCTTTGACCTTGGATGGGCCACTTAATATTCAAGAGCTGTGGCTTATGTATTGCCACTGTCAGTCACAATAGCTAACTTCTGTCTTCATTCCCACTAATGGCAAACAGAAGAGTCTAAGATGCTGAATTGTATCTGCATCGGTTTCCAACAAACTCATGTTCAGCTTTCATCTCTCTCTGCCGTTAAAAAAAAAAGCTGTGTCAATTTTATTAATCCTTTTCTTTTTTAAAAAACCACTTTAAAAAAATTTAACGGCTTTATTGTGGTATGATTCCTGTAGAATAATCTATACATATTTCAGATGTACAATTTGATGGATTTTGATAAATGTATACACCCATAAAATCACCACCACAATCAAGATAGCTAACATTTCCATCACTTCCCAAGAGTTGCAAATTTCAAATTCCCAATTTATTCCTTCCCACCCCCTTTGCCCACCGGTAACCATAAGTTTTCTCTCTATGTCTCTGAGTCTGTTTCTGTTTTGTAGATAAATTCATCTGTGTCCTTTTTGAAAAATTCCACATATGAGTGATATGGTATTTTTCTTTCTCCTTCTGGCTTATCTTACTTAGAATGACAATCTCCAGGTCCATCCATGTTGCTGCAAATGGTATCATTTTATTCTTTTTTATGGCTGAGTAGTATTCCATTGTATAAATATACCACAACTTCTTTATCCAGCCATCTGTTGATGGACATTTAGGCTGTTT